GTGTGTGTGTGTGTGTGTGTGTGTGTGTGTGTGTGTGTGTGTGTGTGATGGGGGCTCCCATTTCACTGAGGAGATGAGAGATAAGGTGCAGATGTTTTTTCCATGATCTCCTCTCCTCCTGCAATCAGCCCCAGAGAAGGGATCTCAGGCACCTTCCCCTGCCTCCCCAGATTTGTTCCCACACTTGGGTCAGCCTCGGCAGAGGGCAGCAGAGCTCACATGTCTGTGGAGAGCAGGCTGGGCTCACTGCAGGCCTCCGCGTCATGGTTCATCTTCACTTCATAGGACTCATCCTGAGACGTCTCCTCCGGACCCACCATGGCTGTCTGGCTCTCCCCGGAGTGGCACCTACAATATCCAAGATGAAGAAAAACATCAGGAACTGCTAACCTCCTCCCCTTCCTTCAGCAAGTAAAGCAGCACACACGCACACACATGCATGCACGCACACGTGCACAAACACAAGCACACACAGGTGAACGGGCATACAGTTGCTGGTGCTTTGTTCTCCGGTGATTGCTGATGGATCCGTGGAAGTGTTAAGATTAGAGTGAGGGTCCCGTTTTGGGAGAAGGATGTCTGCTGTGGATCCAGGGAGATCTGAGTCCTGACCCCAATTCACTTACCCTCTGGTCCAAGTCACTTGGTCCACCTCATGCCTCAGTTTCCCTTTCTATGAAATTGGAATGACATATGCCCTGCCTGACTTAGAGGCTGCCTCCCACTCACCCCCAGCTATGACACCTGCGTCTTTGGCATTTGGCATAGCTGAGAAGTCCCTGGCATCCTATTTTGATGGTGCCCTTGATTCTGACACTGGCACCCTGGGGTAAAGACTCAGCGAGGAAGCCTTACCTAGAGGGGTTTGCTCTCCTGAGCAGAGGGCAGTGAGCCTGAGTCCCTGCTAAGCCTGAATCCCTCCTGAGCTCCAGATCCTCACACACCAGGGCGTGGCTTTCCCTGCTGGGACAGGGTCTTCTGCTCACTGGGTCATGTCTTCTTTAGCTCTGGACCAAAGCCTCTCTTCCTGTCTGAGCTCAGCTCAGTGCCTCCCTCTGTCTTGCTTTCTATAGACCTTGCATCCTGGGCCCACTTTATCCTCAGACCCCCCTGAGGGCATCAGGGAAAGATCCTGGTCCATCGTCTCAGAGCCGAGTGCTAGATCAGTGCCCTGGCTCTGAACATCTCAGGCAGGGTGGAAGCAATTCTCTCTCAAGGAAGAGGAGGACTGCAGACCACCACCCGCCCCGCAGTGGAAGGAAAGATGAGAGGCGGGAGCTCCAGGAGGACTGGGAGGGGAGGGAGGTGGAGTGGGCTTTGGTGAGGCACGGGGGGAGGGGCTGGAGATGCAGGGCAGCAGCAGGCAGGCAACAGCACTTCTGGGGGCCACCGGGCACAGGACGTGCTGGCCCATCCTCAGCACAAGCAATGCTAGGGCCTGAGCTGCCCTTAGCCTTGAGCTGTGACACAGGGACGAGGGAGCTGGGACGTGGGCTATGCTCCTCTTCTTAACCAAGCTGAGGCTTGATGCCCTGTGTGGTGTTTGTACCCACTGCAGTGGGCAGAGGGAACCGACATTTCATGAGCACTGACTGTGTGCTGGGCACTGTGCCGGATGCTTTGCATGTGTTTTGCTATGTGGAGAGATGTATCTGTGGGACAAGGAAATCCCCTGGGGTCTCCTCCCCCAGCTCGCCTAAACATCCCTCTCCCCTTATGTCACAGAGAACAAAACTTCCATGAAAATGCCCTTAGAGGGGGGGATTTAATTCACCCTGAGATGCTAAAGATGGACATGGAGCCCTCTTTAAGCAGAGGCTTTAGGAGGCCAGAGGGGAGAAGGGGGTGTGGGGACCCAGGACTTGAGTCCTCAAAGGCTGTGGAAGGGGGATGAGGTTGCAGAGAAGGATGAGGCCCCCACGACAGGTGCAGGCCCCCAAGACTAGATGCCTAGATTAGATCCTCTCCTATGCAAAGCCAGCCCTTCAGGCCAGCACCTAAAATCCAGTGCCAAGCACACTGCCCTGTGCACAGAAGGCAGCAGTGCAGGCCTCATGAGTTGAAGGACACCCCCAGTGCTGCTTCTGGGGGGCAAAACCAGCCAACCTTGCAGAAAGGAAAGCAGACAGGGAGATGGTCCTTTAAACTGGCCTGTCGTCTGACACAATTAAGTTCCTGGGTCCCATGGGCTTGCACGCAGCCACTTGAAAATGGGCCCTCTGGAGGGATGGGCAGGCCAGCGGCAGGTGTGCCTGCTCCTGGGATGGACACTTGTCCAGGGGTTTAGAGAGAAGCTCCCACTTCTCTATTATTTTCTGAGCTGGAGGGCAGGCCTGTCAAGAACCTGGCATGCTGGGGGGCTGTGCCGCCTGCTGGGAGCCACTGTCCCACTCTGGAAGAGCAGCACTGTTAAGCGTGGCCAGGCACCATGCAGGGTGTGTCCTCTCTCAGTCCCACCGGGGAACCCCGGAGCTGCTCATGCAGACAGGGAGGAACGCCCTGGGGGCCCAGGGTGGGAGGGAAGTCCCACCATCCAGCATGTCATAGCAGTGCATCCTAGAGGCCAGAGGATCAGAGGACGAGGAGAAAAGAGTGAGTCAGGGTGAGAGGTGCAGTCAAGACCTCCAGGAATGATCCTGTGCTGGGCAGAATGGGCCAGTGCTACAGACGGCGCCTCCCACAGCGGGGTGCCCTCCCCGGGAGGCTGGCTAAGGGGCTCCAGGGAAGCAATGGAAATGCCATTCCCATCTCAGCTGGGAGAAAGGCCAGGTTTGGGCAGAGACTTGGTAAAGAGCAGACAGGATGGTTTCTGTTGTGCGGCCAGAACGCACACATCTGAGGATCACATTGGGCCACTCGGAGCACGGGAGAGGAGAGGGAGAAGCGGCGCCGCAGGACACTGCTGACTTGCCCTGAGCCTGCCATGTCTGATCGAGGGCAGGACTTGGGAGACAGCACAGTGCCTCCTGCTCTTGCTGGCGTCTGGGGCAGGGACCTCCTGGAAGCTTGAGGGGCAAGTGGCCGGCCGAGGCCTCCGTCTCCTCCACTGTCTCCTGAGGGTTGCAACACGTGGGCCCTGTATGCCGCCTGGGGTGGCCAGTCTCCTACTTACCTGTTGGAGCTGAGCTTCCACGCCACCTCCTGCACCCGGATGGCAGGGGACAAGGGGGGCCCATGGCCCTCCACAGTGCTGACCGTGCTGGGGTAGCCGGCGGGGCGAGGGAGGCGACCCAGGGCGGTGTTGTTGGCATTGTTGATGTTGGCGTTGGAGCCGGTGGACGAGTAGCTGCTGGGGGTGAAGGTGGAGTCCACCAGCTTCTCGTGGGATGGCGACTCAGTGTCGCCCTGGCTGCTGCCCGCCTTGTTGATGTGCAGTGGGCGCTGAGTGGTGAAGGTCTGGGGGAAGGCGCTCCGGCCGTCGCTTTGGTAGTAGCTGACGTGGTTGCCGAACAGGCCACCGGCCCTCTGTAGGCAAGAAGGAGGGGCGGGTGAAGGAGAAGCCCCTCAGCACCCACTCCTCCCAGAGAACAGAGTCCACAGCCAGGTCAGGGAAGTACAGGGCCTGGGAGGGCAGGTTGCCTTCTTTCGGGGAGGCCCAGCCCTGCTGGGAGCCAGGAGCACCTGAGGACCTTCTTCATGCCTAGTAGCTCCAGAGAAGGAGGGACTCAAGGCTCCAGGATCCCCTCTGTGGCTGCTGGGAGAACCCACCCACCAGTGGGGATGGGATTGAGCAAGGGGCTGTCGCTGGTACAAGCTGCCCTGGAGGTTTCCAGTGAAGCCCCTGGGCTGGGGTGAGTTTCCAGGGCACGTCCAGGATGGTGGTCCCTAAGAGCAGCCAGCACATCGTGAGGGCGGGGGCTGGGAGAGCAACCAGAAGATTCTAACCAGATTTAAAAAATGGAAATCCAATGTGGTCACAGAGCTAAAAGCTGTGTTGGCCAAACGGTTTTGAATATGAAGAATTTCCTGCATGATGGTCTTTTTTTTCCCCTCGGGGACTCGGAGAGATTTAAAACCTGAAGCCAATGTTTTTCCCCAGTATTCTTTTCCTTGTCCTGGGGAAGTGGGCAAGTAGCTATTTGCAAGGTTGGCCCAACCCTTGACATCAGAACATCCCTGGGCCTTGGTGACTGAGCCTTTGGTTTCTGGGGTCTTGTTGGGTTGTGTCACCACCATGCCATGTCTCTGAGGCCACTCAGTGATGAATGGCTCCCAGTGATGAGAATAAGGATGAGGAAGAGACGGAGCAAGGGCAGGATGGGCTCAGCTTGCCCCCTGTGTGTTCCACAGCCTGGGAACTGGGCCCGGGGCAGGGAGAGAGAGGTGTGAGCAGGGCCCTGCACAATTATGGCTGGTAGCTTCTCCCTTGCTATAGAAGGATTTGTAACCAAACACCAGCGGGGTGAGGCAGGCAACACAAGTGAGTGATAAATGCTCCTCATTCCAGAACAGCCTTTTAAATTTTCACTATCGCAACTGCTGGGCAGCTTCAGTCTCCAGGAAAGGAGAGGGAAAGGGGAGGACTGGAGGGGTCTTCGAGATCTGGAGAACAGACGCTATGCTCCATCTCAAAGGGCAACCGCCATCAGGCTCCAGCCCTCTGCTGCTCTGTGGGAATGCAAGCTCAAAATTGCCAGGTCTCCTGACTTTTCCAAGGAATGCCAGAAATCTTGATTTTGACCTGAATGTGCCAGATTTTCAAATATTAACAAACAAAACAAGCCTGCAGATTAGATGTGCCCCGGGGTGACCACTTTGTAACTTCTAATGTAGAAGTTTCTCCTAGGAAACATTTCACTTAGGGAGGCAGCTCCTTCCCACTTCGCTGAGAGCCAGTGACACTGGGAGCCACTATTTCCAGGGAGCCCTGCCATGGTATGGAGTCAGGCTTGGAAAAGGCAAAGGGGAGAGGAGACAGCTAATCAAGAAGAGCCTGGAATTGGCCCTCTCCTCTGGTGCAGCTCTTTCCCCTGGACGTTCCCCGCAAAACCCCAGCCCACCCTCTTGCTCCAAACTGAACTTTATAGAGGCCGAGAGTGCGCCATGGCACCACCCACCCTGAAGATGTCATCTTCAGAAGCAGTGGACACAGCCTCCTTCATGGCCTTGTCCAGCTCCTCCTCAGCGGTGAGATCTCCAGAGATGGCCCGTCGGATCTCAGGCCCGATGTCGTGCAGCGTGCGCAAGCCAGCCTGGAACCCAAGGGGAGGATGGTGAGGACCGTGCTCCCTTTCCTCCAAGCTCGCCAGCCAGCCATAGCCTCGGGTCAAGGCCTGTCCCTCCAGGGCCCTGGCATCCTCCACCCAGCCAGTCGACTCTCCGGAAGGTTTGTCTGTGTGTGAACTGGGGGCTGGGCTGCCCTCTGATGGAAGAATCCACTCGCCCATCCAGGAGGCATGAAGTCTCATTAGGAGGGGGCACCAGGGGTCAGGGGCTGTCATGGGAGCCTCAGTGAAGTGTTTGAGAGATCTGGGGGCTATGACAGCAGGCAGGCCCATGGAGGACAGTCGGTGGGTGGCAGGTGGGGAAGGGCACATCACCCCCTTCTCACAGCCATCTTTGGAAAGGTCTGGAGCTTTCTGAAAAGTTCCCTCTGCAGGGACCTGGCCTCCAGCCTGCTGGGAAGGGACTGGCACCCTGACTGGAGGTCAGAGGCAGTGACCAGGACCTTCCTGGAGTGTGGACCCGCCCCCAGGCCCTCACCTGCAGAGACAGTGCGTTCCTCTGGGAGGGTTTGCCCACAAGGCCCTGCTCTTTGCGCTTCTTGAACTTCCGGAAGTACTCCTGGATCAGGAATGTGGCGTAGAACTTGCCAACGGTGACCTCATCATCTGAGACGTATGGAGAGGGGAGAGGGGGTAAGAGGGAATTCAGTTGAACTTCATTTTTTTTTTTCAGCATCCAAAACTTTCTAAAACTTTTTAGGTTTAATTGTTTTGGAGAGATAGTACATTCACAAGGCTTAAAAAGAGAAAAAAAAAAATACATAAAAAGGCTTATGGTGAAAAGTCTCTCCTGCCACAGCCCTTATCTGCCTAGTCACCACCTCCTGTAGATAATCTAGTTTCTCGAGTATTTTCTCGGAGATTCTTAGTGCAAATTAGTTATGTAAATCATCAAACATATTCTTAGCCCCTGTTTTTTTTTTTTTAAGGAAAAAGTAGCCTATCATCAAAATTATTTCCTGCTTTTTTTTTTAAACTTTACTGATATTTGCTGACTCTTATTTGATTCCAGAGCTTCAAATGTCCCTCATCAATTGGCCCCTCTTCCAAGTCCAAATCAGTTCAGCTCAACTTGGAGGGAGGGGCTGCTGGAAGGAGGACTTTCTTCCCATGGAAGTTTGGATTTTTCTTTCAAACCAGACTAGGTTTTTGTGCAGCGTGGCTTGGCTGCACCCCTGCTAGGCTGGATACCCAAGATTACGTGTGACAGCATCAGTCCCTGTCCTGGGAGTGAACCTGATGGTGGAGAAGCCATAAGTTCCTACAGGAAACAGTTCCTGCCTGGTAAGGAGCCCCTTGGCTCCACCTCCTGGTTCACTGTGAAGAGATGCAACGGGCCCAAGAGACAGACCTAGGGGCTGGTGAGGGTTCTCCTCCTACCTGTCCCTCCAAAACAGCCAAATCCATAGCAGTGATGACCCCTCCCTTCTCTGGCAAGCACCCCCTTTCCACGTGGGAGGGAAAAACCCAGGGTCCCCTCTCCCGCATAGTCGGGAAGGAAGAACTGCACGGTGGGACAAGCCTGGAGTCCTAGGTCCCCTGGGGCCTGGGTTTGAATCCTGAATGTGCTCTGGACTCTCCAGGTAACCTTGGGTCAGCAACTTAGCTTCAAAGAACTTTAGTTCCCTGAGCAAACTTCACAGAAATGTTGTCAGGATTCAATAAAATGATGTATGTAAAATATCATATGGCACTGGTGAGATTTTCACGTAGCCCAAGTCTGGCTTTCGCTCTGGCAAGTGGTTCTTAACACAAGTGGTGTCGCCTCTTAAGGAGGGCACAGTAAATGTGTGGGATGGTTTTTAGTTGTCAGGGTACTGTGGGGGTGCCACTGGCATCCGGCAGCTCCAGACCTGTCCCTGGAAGTGCAGACATGTTCTGCAATCGCAGCTTTGCACCCTGCAGGGCTTTCGAGTTTATACCACACATCCATGATTCTGCGTAGGATTCTCTGAGCTCAGAACGTAGTTCCATTTTGCAAATGAACATAGGATATTGTTTTGCATGGTTTTAACATACCTAAAAATTTCCGGGAATATAACTGCTGTGTAAATTGACGAAAACTATACCTTGGAGTGTTTAAACTTGGCTGAGAGAGGTTCGCGCTTTGGAAAACTGGATTCCTGATGGCAATGCTCTTTGCGGTGTCTGGGTCACTCACTGTAAGTGTCATGTCATGGTCATTCTGCATACGTGTAAGTACATCTGTGTGTGTTTATGTGTGGGGGGCTATTTACACACAGTTATTTAATACACTGATTTACCCCTTATTTCAAAATGACAAAGTGTTGACAGTATTCAGTATTGTCTTACTTCCTGTGAACCCAATTGTCTTACTTCCTGTGTTGTAAGTGTGTACATGAGAAGATCTCATCAGTTAAATGTACCCTCTGGTATAGTTATGCCTGAGTATTTGCATATTGGAAACATCTGCTTTTAATAGATTTTATGTTACAGTGAAGGCATTATATTAATATTTTGGAAATTATATGTATAGGAAAGATATATTATCTATAATTTTCATTCGGGGTCATAGTAAAGGCAGTATAAACTCTTTGCTATAAAAAGGGATTTGGGGCTTGACAGGGTCAAGAAACACTGCTCTTGGAAGAACAAAAAGAATTTCATCCAAGAGGGGAGGAATCTCAGGGGATTCTCCTTTCAGGGCCTTAGAGCAATCCTACAGTAATCAGGCTTATGGGAAACCTACACTTTGTAGAGTTTGCTTAGAAGTTCTGCCAAACCCCTAAGCATCAGGGACTCGCCTGTTACCCTATGTAAAAAGCAGGTTGCACCAGATTTCCAGCCTGACATTCTGTTTCTGAGTTTGTGCAGGGCATTGCACCTGTGTCCCTTCTAACCAATGGGGCCTCTGAGTCCCGCAGGAAGGGTCTGAAGGCAGAACTCCAGCAAGCCTAGGGGACTCAAGAAGCAAGTCTCAGGGGATGCTTCCACATTCTAAGGGTGCCACTGCTGGAGGAGAGGCAGGCCGAGGAAGGCACGGCCAGGTTGTGGCCGAGGTGCGGGGCCCAGGGAGCACTCACCGCCTGCAGGAGGCACCACCTGGTCCAGCAGCTTCATGCTGGTCCGCTTCCAGATCTTCTTGATGATGGCCCGCAGCTCCTCATTGGCCTGTTCGAGGTTCCCTGCAGGGCGGAAAGGATCCTCAGCCCCTTGGTGGGCCTCTGATGGGCTGGGTCCCTCTGCGTAAGGTAGGAAGCCACAGATGGTGGCGTCTGCCCCACGCAACCTGACACATCAGTTTCTTTCTCACTGGCTTCACTTTTCCCCAGTCTTCCCGTTTTCTACCTCCTTCCTCTTCCCCTTCCTCTCTCCACCTTCCTTCCTTCCCCCTTCCCTCTCGTGCTCTGTCCAATGCCATTCCTCTCCCCTTCCCCCTGCCTGTGGCTCAGGCCAGCCAGGGGGCCCCTCTGCCGGCACTCAGTGCTCTTCCTTGTGGACTGAGCCCAGGGCCCGGGCAGGAACAATGGCGGCCATGCGCTCACCAGCTGGAACATGTATGACCCCACCACGGGCAGTAGGGGGTCCCCATGGGTGGCATTTCTCATGGAACTCGTTGGGCAGCCACAGGGAACATGGATGATAGGAGGGTACATCTGTCAATGAGGGCTCTGTCCTGAGTTCCCCTGCTTAGATGCCTGCCCTGTGCAGCCTCTGGGGCCCCAGCCTTACAGTGGTGAAAAAGGAAAGCCGAGCCTCCTTACAGCTGTAAGGGCAGATGTGGGGGACAGGATTCTAAGATGCTCCTCACCAGGGTATACACGCTGCCAAACCCCTGGGCCCCTAACCATCAGAGATTTTACTCCTGAGATTAGGTTATATGGCACACGGCACCCATGACCTAAGACAGGGAGGTTAGGCGGACCTGACCTAGTCACGAGCCCTTTAAAAGCAGAGTCCTCTCCAGCTGGCCTGGAAGAAAACAAACACTCATGTGGGCTGAACCTAGAGAGGCTGCTTCTAGGAGCTGAGGGGCTCCCCAGCTGTCAACCAGCAGGAAAGTGGGGACCTCAGACCCACAATTGCAACGGATGAATCGCATCAACAACGTGATCTCCCCCAGAGCCTCCAGAAGAGACCATGGCCTGATCAATATCCTGGATGTGCCTTATGAGAGCCCAGCTTCACCACTGCTGGACTTCTGACCTGCAAAACCATGAGCTAATAACGGGGTATCTTTTTTTTTTTTTTTGAAGACAGAATTTTGCTCTTGTTGCCCAGGCTGGAGCGCAATGGCACGATCTCAGCTCACTGTAACCTCCGCCTCCTGGGTTCAAGCAATTCTCCTGCCTCAGCCTCCCGAGTAGCTGGGATTACAGGCATGCGCCACCATGCCCAGCTAATTTTGTATTTTTAGTAGAGACAGGGTTTCTCCATGTTGATCAGGCTGTTCTCAAACTCCCGACCTTGTGATCTGCCCGCCTCAGCCTCCCAAAGTGCTAGGATTACAGGCGTGTGCCACCGTGCCTGGCCAACAGGGTATCTTTTTAAGCTGAAAAGCTTGTAGTGATTTGCTTTGCAGAATAGGAAACCAACATGGGATGTTTACTGCTCTTGCATAGGACTGGCGGTTCAGTATCGTTGTGGAGGGCTCTCGTGTCAGACTGCCTGGGTTCAAATCCACCTCTGGGGCCACAGGGCAGAGCATGCAGAGGTGGCAGGAGAGGGACTGACGGAATCCCAAGCTCCCTGAATGCCAGATCCAAACAGGACCTGAAGGCAGGGGACGACTCCCGGTGATCAATCCCCTTCACGGGAGAGGTAGCTGGAGGTTTCTGACACACGCAGGACAAGATCCTAACACACACGGTATTCAAATATACTTGGCTTCGGGACTGGGCTGAATGGTGTCCTCCCAAAATTCATGTCTGCTTAGAACCTCAGAATGTGGCCTTCATTCGAAATAGGATTTTCACCAATGTAATTAGTTAAGATGAGGCCATTCTGGATGAGGGTGGGCCCTAAGTCCAATGTGGCTGGTGTCCTTATAAGAAGAGGAGAGGAACGAAGACCCTGGAGGCTATGTGAAGATGGAGGCACAGATGGCACGATGCTGCCGTGAGCTAGTGCACACCAGGCATCGTCCACAGCCCTCAGAAGCTGGGAGAAAGGGTGGAACAGATTCTCCCCACAGCCTCCTGAAAGAACCAATCCTCCTGACACCTTAGTTTTAGACCTCTGGCCTCCTAAACTGAGAGAACTTTCTCTTGTTTCCAGCTGCCCAGTTTGTGATCATTTGTTACAGCAGACCTAAGAAATTAACATAGTTTCCAAAAGGACCTTTCCTTTTTTTTTATCAGCCTTAATTTATTCTCATGACGGTCTATGTAATTGTGGAAGTTCGCCGACAATTGTTTCATGTCATCTGAGTATTTTTCAAGATCTTCCTTCTATGTTCCAAGAGAAAAGCCTGTTTGGCTTGGTGCTGGACGTGGGATGAGAGCTCTGGTTCTCTGAGGTAGGTGTTAATTTCTCCCCAATTCCTTCCAGGCTGAGATGTCTGAAGGGTGAGGACTGATGCCAGCCTTATCTTCACAAATGTAGGTGCCTTCTCCCATTTCTTTCTAGTTGTTTCTAAGACGTGACTTTGTCTTCCTTTCTTAAGATTTTAACAAGATTGTGGAGGGCCCGTGTGTGATGAAGGCTCACCCTTCGGTGGGGGCATTACGGGCCCTTTGGTAGCTGTTCTGAAATGTCTTTGTGTTTAAAAGATAGTCTTTAATTCTTGACATGATTGTAGTTCCCACATGGCTGGCTTCTCCCCTTTTCTCTGGAACTCCTATTTCCTCAGAATTGGGTCTCTGCATTTGATGGATCAGTCTTTCGCATTGTTACTAGCTACTGGTCTTCCTTAGTTGGCATGTGGTTTGCTTTGACAGTGAACCTTCGACCTTGCCGAATCCTTGCTTCCATACCTGCCTGCCTTTTGTTCCTCCATGGAACAAAATCTTACATCCTCAATTTATATTAAGCTTTAAGTATTACAGCATATTCCTCCTGGCAGTCATTTGTATCGCCTCTTCTTCCCTCAGAACGTAGGGCAGTAACACTCCTTGCAGAAAATTTGGAAAGTAAAAAAACTAAAGGAGTAAGGTAGATGTCACTGCTGATCTTTCTACTCGTGATAATCAATGTTAACATACGAACACATGTTCTTCCCAGTTTTCTTCCTTGTTATACAAGGAAGAATTAAATGTGTGTTTTGGCCAGGCGCGGTGGCTCATGCCTGTAATCCCAGCACTCTGGGGGGCCCAGTCAGGCAGATCACGAGGTCAGGAGATTGAGACCATCCTGGTCAACATGGTGAAATCCTGTCTCTATTAAAAATACAAAAATTAGCTGGGTGTGGTGACACACGCCTATAGTCCCAGCTACTCAGGAGGCTGAGGCAGGAGAATGGCTTGAACCAGGGAGTTGGCAGTTGCAGGAGGCTGAGATTGCGCCACTCCAGGTGACAGAGTAAGATCCATTAAAAAAAAAAAAGTGTGTTTTTGTTTTCTGGTAGTCAGAAATAGGCCTATTTACACCCATTTCAGATTGAGTGATTGCATTGGCTACTGATGGTATATTTTTTTAGCCTTTGCTTTTTTTTTTTCAGTTTAGTAGCGGAACTTGTCCTATTTTTATTTTTTATTTTATTTTAGTTTTTCAGATGGAGTCTCACTGTCGCCCAGGCTGGAGTGCAGTGGTGTGATCTCAGCTCACTGCAACCTCTGCCTCCCAAGTTCAAGCGATTCTCCTGCCTCAGCCTCCTGAGTAGCTGGGATTACAGGTGCCTGTCACCACCATGCCTGGCTAATTTTGGTATTTTTAGTAGAGATGGGGTTTTACCATGTTGGCCGGGCTGCTCTTGAACTCCTGACCTCAAGTGATCCACCTGCCTTGGCTTCCCAAAGTGCTGGGATTACAGGCGTGAGCCACCGTGCCCGGCTCCTATTTTTATTTTTTAAAAATCAGCTAATTATTTTGATTTCTGTCTTGGTGGACTGGTTCTTGTTTCACTTCATTTCAAATGTTTCTGTTGTTTTTTCTGAAGGATCTAACTGAGAGAAGATCCATGTCTGGGTTATTCAATGAATTAAATTCCCAGATGTCATCACCTTTCTCTAGTCTACCAACGAAGCAACGGAAGTAGAGACAGAGTAAATGGCTCATACTCATGTCATTAGTGAGAGAGCAGGGATTTAGATTCGAGTCTCCCATCTCCCTGCCAAGGGCTCCTTCTGTTGCCCCAGAGGAACACACTGACGGACAGCCTGAGTTTTAAGCTGAAAGTGTAGGAAGGGGAAGGAAACATACTGCCTGTCTCATCTGTGTTTTCTGTAATTACTACACCAGTGGGTTTGAATCATCTCTGTAGCTGGTTCAAAATGCAGATTTCTGGGCCCCATGCTCGGGGATTTGGCGTTATCAGATCTGTGTGGGTGCCTGGGACTCTGTAGCTTAAACAGGTGTCCAAAGCTGATTCTGCAGCAGGTGGTCTTTTGACCACGCTCTAGGAAACGCTAGACACTCCAAGGCTGGACACCCTTGGAGAGAAATGGCATCTTCTTAGGTGTATTTAATACAGCCTTTTCCACAGTGGTTCACAAACTCTTATCCATCATAAAGGGAGCAGATTATCTCACTCCGGCTGCTGCTAGCCCTTAGGGTGCTAAGGACACTTAGAAGGACCCCTCCAGGTGGACACAGCCCTGAGCCCGGTCTGACTAGGTGGCACCGGTGAGGTCTGAATCCTCACCTGTCCGCTGGCTGAGAGCCTTGAGCCAGGCTCAGCCCACACAATGTGTGCAATGACCTCCACCACGGCCACCACTTGTCACTATGTCCCTTTTCCCACACATGTCTTCCCAGCACAGTCCTATTAATTTAATGAGTTGAGCATTTGAGACATCCACCTGTGGCCAGTGTTAAGTCCTTTTAGACAGGGGTTGGTCCTGCTTCAGCTAACACCTGTCTCCTTCTGTTTTGTGAGCTATACCCTCTGACTTTAAGATACCACCAGAATGAGTCCCAGAGTTTCATGGAAAGCGAGAGTTCAAAATGAGTAAGCCGGAGCAGGCTGGTCCAACCTGCAGCCCACGGGCCACATGCGGCCCAGGACGGCTTTGAATGTGGCCCAACACATATTCGTAAACTTTCTTAAAACATTGAGTATTTTGTGATTTTTTTTTTTTTTTAGTTCATCAGCTATCGTTAGTGTATTTTACGTGTGGCCCAAGACAATTCTTCTTCCAATGTGGCCCAGAGAAGCCAAAAGATTGGATACCCCTGAGCTAGAGGCAGGGAGACCATTCAGGAAGCAAAGAAGTCATGAGCAGGCTGGGGCCCTGCGATGTGCTGGAGCACGGGTCACCCCTGTATCCCCGCTCGGATGCTGTCTGCGGCAGGAAGGTCCCTCGAGCACTGTGCAGGCTGCCGAGCTCCTCTCTGATTGCTAGACCTTCTGAGTGTCTCTCCCAGTGCCCACGGGCGCCCTTACCTTCTGTTTTGATCCTCAGGGCTGTCCTGACCAGGGCAAACAGGGTGGCATTGAACATGACTGTCCCGTCGCTGTTCAGAGGCATATTCATGGAGACCAGGCGCTGCAGGGGAAGGGGAGCAAAGCCGGTGATGCTGGCAGGTGGTGCTTAGGGGACCACAGAACACCGTGGCACAGTGATATGGTTTGGATCTGTGTCCCCGCCCAAATCTCATGTTGAACTGTGATCCCCAGAATTGGAGGTGGGGCTTGGTGGAAGGTGATTGCATCATGGGGTGGATTTTTCATAAACGGGCTGAAAAAGTCCTTTATCCAGGACTGGGCCCCTGGCTCGCTGGGACAGGAGGCATTCACTCCGTTATTCCCTTATAGAGTCTGAGAATTTAGAGCTGGAAGGATCCTTAAAATGTAATCTTTAGGCACATAAACTAGTATGTTCATTCCCTTAAAGGATCACAAGAAATGGGCACTTCGCCTCCCCTATTTTCCCTCTTCCTCCCATGAACCCAGTTATCTCTTACTTTGCAAGCCACGCGGTGAGGGCACAGCTTCCCAAAACCTAGTGGGGGCTGAATCCGCCGGAGGAGGGTCACCACATCCAGGTGTTTGATACGACCCCTAGAAGAGGAAGGAGGGGAGGGACAGGACATCAGAGAGCCATGGTCTCTGCCAGCAGCCCAGGATGCATGCACCTGAGGGGTGGGGCCCACTCACATGGGCAACATGGCACTGTGTGGTCACTATTAGTCACACTCAGTGCAGAGCTGCAGAATTGCATGGCACAGCCCCAAACCAATATACATATACACGTGTTTAGGTTTTAATGAATACTTTTCTGCCCATGCTATGTTCAAAGTGGAAGGGATTTTAGCAGTGCAACGGAATTCTCAATACATACTTGCTGACTGAATGAACTAACCTTCTGACCAAAAGGTATTTACTGAGGGTCAGCCAAATGTGATTGATCTTTAGACCAGAAGCAGGAATGGAGTCAACATTTTCCCCGGCCCTGTGTATCCTAACTTGAACACTTAACTAGTTATTCCTGATACTAGAATTTCCTATCCTTCCATTCAACTGAAGGTAGTAGATATATTCTTTTCTTTCTTTTCTTGTTTTTTTTTTTTTCAGATGGAGTCTTGCTTTGTTGCCCAGGTTAGAGTGCAGTAGTGCAATCTCAGCTCACTGCAACCTCCGCCTCCCGGATTCAGGCAATTCTCGTGCCTTGGCCTCCCGAGTAGCTGGGATTATAGGCATGTGCCACCATGTCCGGCTAATTTTTGTATTTTTAGTAGAGATGGGGGTTTACCATGTTGGCCAGGCTGGTCTTGAACTCCTGGCCTCAAGTGATTCACCCACTTCAGCCTCCCAAAGTGCTGGGATTCCAGACATGAGCCACCACACCCAACCTAGTAGATATATTCTTGACTTAATTGAAGGTGCCAGGCCTCCTCCTGCTGGCAAACCCTGGGGTTTGATGCAGTTTGGTGTTTCTAATTGATCCACCCAGTGCTGGCCAACCGTGAGCCCCTCCTGCAGGTATGGTCAGCGATACCCTCTCTCAGCTCAGGGAATCAGGCCTTCCCTCTGGGAACTTACTTGGCTTCAGGGTCATACTCTGCCCAGATTCTTTTAAACTCATCCAGGTGGTGGGGACCAAGGATGGACCAGTCCCTTGTCAGGTAGTCAAAGTTGTCCATGATGACAGCTACAAAGAGGTTGATGATCTGCGGGGAACAGTACAATGAGGTGCTGGGAGAAGATCTTCCTACACACCTGCCTCTGGAACCCCCATGCCAGCCGGGGCCCACGGATGGCAGAAGCCAACATTTCTAAAGACCGGTAATCCATCCTACCAGCCGTAGAACCTGGGTCTCTTGGACGTAAACTTGACACAGCTTCCCTGAGAGTTGTGTGTGATGAACCCACATCACAAGCTGGACAGCTTCCCTCCTACTGAGCTGCTGGGCAAGGCGGCACAGGAAAGAGGGGACTTTATCCCCTTTTCCTCACTCCTCAGAAAGATGCCAAAAAAGTATAGTTCTTTCTAGGCCTCCACATGTCCCCTGTGTCCTCTGGGACAATGCCAGCATGACAAGAGCCAAGAATGGACAAGCAATATGCTGGTGGAGCTCACTCTGGCCCAGGGCTTTTTGCCTTTCTCTCCATGTGGCTGGACACTCCTGCCAACTTAGCCTTCCCAAACCAGCTCCTCTGATGGGGTTGCCCTGACCGTGAGCTGCAGAGATGGAGGGTTCAGGCTGCCCTGGAACTGGGCACTCATGGCTGCTGGCTGTTGAGTTCCCCCTTGGCTTACCAGGAAGGCACAGAGCATGTAGAAGCTGATGAAGTAGAAGACGGCAAAGCTGCTGCCACAGGGTGATTCACCCTCCGTGCTGTTGCCGGGCTCGGACTCCGGGGCACACTTCTTGCCTGGCATGCAGGCCAGCATGATGTCCTGCCAGGCCTCCCCGGTGGCACACCTACGGGGGAGGGAGAGCCACATCCATGCAGCCCATCCTACAGACGCCAAGGAGGGCCCTCTGCATCCCTCCCCACTTGTCCCTTTCCTCCTTCCCCAGAGGGAATCACTAAAACGAACTTGATGTTCATCATTCCCCGAATGCTCTGATATGTTCGCTAAATATGCAAACACATGGCATTATTTTGAAGATTTTAAATTTTATATACACAGTAACAAACTGCACCTTTTCCGAAAACTTGCTGTTTTTGCAATCCGCATGATGTTTTTGAGACTTAGCCTTTTGGATGTATTTTAGTTCCAGTTCATTCACCTTAACTGCTGTATAGGAGTATGCTCTATGAACTTACCATAAAAAAATCCACCGTCCTGTTAAGGAACATTTAGGCTTTTCACTTTTTTCTTTTACTAGTACAAAAAACACTGCAATAAACATGCAGATTTATATCTTGGGTATCCACTTAGAAGTGGAATTGCCAGTTAAAGTACACGTGTCTTCATTTTTACTAGATATTCCTTGAACTCCAAGGGTTTGTCCAACTTAGACCTCCTATTACCAATGTAGGAGAAATGACACTACAAACTCATCTGTTCATTAGTGAATTGTTTTAAACGATGCTCGTATAATTCGTGTGAGATAATATGTCATTGCTGTTTTAATTTGGTTATAAAATGATTAGTGGGTTGAGAATTTAGATTTTATCTTCCATTAAATTACATGTGCATGTTTTTGCTTGTTTGATTCAGGATGCTTCTTGCTCATTTGTAGGGTGCTTAAGATATTCTATTCTCTATTATTTTAAAAAATTTTCAATAGTCTTTGGGGAACACGTGGTTTTTGCTTACAAGGAAAAGTTCTTTAGTGGTGATTTCTGAGATTTTGGTACACCCATCACCCAAGCAGTAGCCTTTTATCCCTGACCATCCTCCCACCCTTCCCTGAGTCCTCAAAGTCCATTACATCATTTTGCAAATGGTGCTGCTATAAACGTGTGTGTGCATATGTCTCTTTCATATAATGACTTCTCCTTTGGGTAGATACCCAGTAGTGGGATTGCTGGAGGGAATGGTAGTTCTACTTTTACTTCTTTAAGGAATCTCCATACTGTTTTCCACAGTGGTTGTATTAGTTTACATTCCCACCAGCAGTGTAAAAGTGTTCCCTTTTCACCACATCCATACCAACATCTATTATTTTTTATTTTTTAAATTACAGCCATTCTTGCAGGAGTAAGGTGGTGTCTCATGGTGGTTTCATGTCTACTCTTAATCCTTTGTTAGTTATATGCATCAGAAATAGCTTCTTCCAATTTGTGGCTTATCTCTGGCATTTTTTACGATGTATTTTGGTAAATCTAAGTTTTGTATTTCAATGAGGTCAAATTTATAGATTTTCCTCTATGTTTTGTGCTTTTTGCATCTTGTTTAAAAAATCATTCTCTGTTTTAGGTCATAAAGACATTCTTTTCTATGTTCTTCTAAAGGTTCTAAAGTTTTGTTTTTCACAATAACTTACTAACCTGAAATTTATTTGCATGTTTGATATGAGGTAGAAATATGCTTTTATTTTTTTCTGTATAGATAAGTCATTTTACTAATACTATTTATTGAATAGTACATCTTTACCTACTTAATTGAAATATTTCTTCTGCCATAAGTTGTATTTCCATAGGTGTGTAGGTTGTGTTCTAGCCTTTCCATTCCATTCCTTAGGTTTATTTGTTTATCTTGGTACAGAAGTACTGTGTTGTCTTCATAGTAAGTGGCCTTACGGTAAGTCCTACCCTCTCACAGTGCAGGAATCCTTCTAACCTGTTGTTCTTCAACATTTGTCTTGGCTATTCAGTTTCCTTTTCTATTCCATAGACACAGTAGAGTCAGTTCCAGGCTCTATGAGTAATCCTGTTGGGAGTCTTATTAGAATTGCATTGGGATATCGATTAACTTGGGGAATCCTGACATCTTTATGATATTAAGTCTCCTGGCCAGAAATGTGGCATATCCTTCCTTTTATTTTGTTGTACATTTAAAATGGTATAGTTTCAACATTATATTTTAAAAGCTATATCCATTTGCTGCTGATATAGAGGGAATACAATTGATTTCATATTATGGAATATTTGCTAAACTCTCCTATTAGTTTTAGCAATTTTCTGTAATTTTTCTTGTATATACACACAGGCAATCAACTTTTTTGGCATTTAATTTTGTTTCTCCAATTCTTATCCTTTATTTTTCTTGTCTTATTTTATTGGTTAAGAGTTACAAAATAATAATATTGAAAAAGTGACAGCATAAAATCTTGTCTATTACATTTACTAATTAGTTATTGCCAGCACAGGAAAACAATTATTTTTCTTTGTTAATCTTTTAATCTTCCACTTTATTAATTCTATTGTCATAAAAGGTTTTTAGTTAATTTGCATAGATTTTCTACATAAATTAGCCTGTCGTCTGCAAACAATGGCAGTTATGTGTACATACTTTCATATTTATAACTGCTTGCTTTTTTCTCTTTTTCTCATTGGCATTAGCTTTGTGTTAGTCTTATGGGATGAGTGAAGAGGTTTCCACAACTTTCTGTACCTGGAAAGTTTATATAACATTGGAATGACGCGCTCCTTGATAGTCTGGTAGACCTCACAAATAAAAATATTGAATCTTGGGCCTTTTCAAAGGCTAAATTTTTGACCAGCTTTTCAATTTCTGTTGTAGTTGTTGTTTTTTAAATTCTTAAGGTAATTTTATAATTCTTATTTTCTACATAAAAGCATCTGCTGCATTTAGGTTTTCAAATGGATTGGCACAAATTTGTTCATGATGTTCTCTCTGTCTTCTTTTTTGAAGTCTGATATTATTCGTCTGCTACTCTTAGAAAAATCTTGTGTGTGTGTGTGTATGTGTTTAGAGATGGGATATCACTTCGTCACCCAGGCTACAGTGCAGTGGAGCCATCTTAGCTCACTGTAACCTCAAACTCCTGGGCCCAAGTGATCCTCCCGTCACAGATTCTCAAGTAGCTGGGACTACAGGTGCATGGCACCACACCTGGCTAATATTTTTATTTTTATTCTTACAGATGGGGTTTTGCTATGTTGCCCAGGCTGGTCTCATACTCCTGGTCTTAATTGATCCTCCCACCTCAGCCTCCCAAATTGTTGGGATTACAGGTGTGAGCTGCCATGCCTGGTGAAAATCTTATTTTTGATAGACTCAGAAGCTCTCAGTGAACATAGCCTCCACGTCTTGGAAATCTGTTCCTGGCATTTTTCTTTGGTCTCCTTCATTCTCTTGGCCAAAAGTTCAGCATATTGTTTAACCTCTTCCTTATATTTATTTATTTATTTGGAGACAGAGTCTTGCTCTGTCACCGAGGCTGGAGTGCAGTGGCACAATCTCAGCTCACCGCAACCTCCACCTCCCAGGTTCAAGCGATTCTCCTGCCTCAGCCTCCCGAGTAGCTGGGATTACAGATGCCTGCCACTGTGCCTGGCTAATTTTTGTATTTTTAGTAGAGACAGGTTTAACCGTCTTGGCCAGGCTGGTCTCGAACTCCTGACCTCATGATCCACCTGCCTCAGCCTCCCAAAGTGCTGGGATTACAGGTGTGAGCCACCGCGCCCAGCCTTACTTATTTTTATTTTTATTTTAGTGTCCTGTTTCTTCAGAGCAATAGGTCAGCATTTGTGTTGCAGGACACGTGGAGTAAGAAGATGCCGAGTCTTGGGTGCTTTGGTTCTAGGTTCCTGACATCCTTTGTTTAGGGGCTTACTCACCGGTGGACATCATCTTTACACGGAATGAAAAGTTATTAGACTGTGCCATCTCTTTTGGACCTCAGGTGAAAAGGCACAGTAGTATCAGTCAGTCTAGTCTTTCTCTCTCCCCTATCTTTTTTTACAAAAACCAAATTAAGAAGTCAGATTGGCACTCACAATGCAACCCTGAACAATCTGTGCTTTCCTTCTGCAGTTCCCCTTGGTCTGTAACAGAATGCCCCATACGCAGTAGCAGGTGGACACAACCACAGGTCAGGACACACTGCTTCACAGGGAAACCTCGCGGGTCATTTGTACCATTGATCTGACCCTCATAAGCCTTCCATTCTTCACCCAGAGTGGCACCGGTGACTTCTGAGGCTACATGCTTCTCATAAAAGGTATGGTTTGCATCCACTGTCCACTTCAGTGAGTTTCTGGCAGCCACTGGCTGAGAAGGAGATCTTCTGCTTCATCTTGAAGCAGCTGATCACCTTTGAGGTGCCACAAAACAGAGGCATGAGATTCTCTTATCATTCTAAAAATCACTTCCACACCTGTAATGACGTTGCTTTTTGCACTCCTGATGTTGTTGTGTTTTTTAATTGGATTTGATGCTTTGTCTGTTTATTGGTCTTTTCAAAGGATCAGCTTTAGGGTTTATTGATAAAATCCATAATTTATTAATTGATGCTTTTACTTTTAAAAATGTATTCCTTCATATTCTGGGATTATTTTACTATTCTTTCCCCCATCTTTTGGCTTATTTAATATACATCTTTTTAAATAAATATAAATAAATTTTAGGCTCTGAACTTTTTTCTTTGGTGTTGACTGATGCATCTCATCCATTTCAGATACGGTGCTCTGGCTCTCGTTTCTAAGTACAGCCCTGTGCCACTTAACAATGGGGAGATGCACGGTTAGGCAATTCTGTTGTTGTGCAAACGATGCCATAGCTATTACACACCTCAGCTCTATGGCACAGCCCACTGCTCCTAGGCTTCAAGCCTATACGGCATGTGACTGTACCGAATATTGCAGGCAACCGGAACACACTGGTAAGTATTTGTGTATCTAAACATACCTAAACACTGAGAAGGAGCAGTAAAATAGGCACAGTAAAAAAGATTCAAAGATGGTGCACCTGTAGAGGGCGCATACCATGAATGGAGCTTGCAGGACTGAAAGTTGTCGTGGGTAGGGCAGTGAGGGGTGGTGAGTGAATGTGAAGGCCTTGGACGTGACCGCACACTGCCGTACACCGCCGGAGACTAGAAACACTATACACTTAGGCTACACACATTTATAAAAAGTACTTTTCTTTCTTCAGTAATAAATTAACTTCAGGTTAATGTAACATGTTTACTTTATAAACTTTTTAATTTTTTTTTAACTTTTGGACTCTTCTGTAATAACGCAACTTAAAACACACATTGCACAGCTGTACAAAACATTTTTCTTTATATCCTTATTTTGTTTTTTTTTCTATTAACCTTTTTTTTTGTTTGTTTTTTGTTTTTTGTTAAAAGCTAAGACGCAAACCCACACATTAGCCTAGGCCTACACAGGGTCAGGATCATCAGTATCACTGTCTTCCACCCCCACATCTTGTCCCATTGGAAGGTCTTCCGGGACAGTAACACGCATGGAGCTGTCATCTCCTATGATAACAATGCTTTCTTCTGGAATACCTCCTGCAGGACCTGCCTAAGGCTGTTTTATGGTTAACTTAAAAAAAATAAGTAGAAGCAGTACACTGCAAAATAATGATAAAAGTACAGTGCAGTAAATATATAAACTGGTGACACAGTCCTTTATTCTCATTATAAAATAGTATGTACTGTACATAATCGTATAAGCTATACTTTTTTTTTTTTTTTGAGACAGGGTCTTGCTCTGTCACCCAGGCTGGAGTGCAGTGGCTGGATCTCAGCTCACTGCAAGCTCCACCTCCCGGGTTCACGCCATTCTCCTGCCTCAGCCTCCCGAGTAGCTGGGACTACAGGCACCCGCCACCTCGCCCGCCTAGTTTTTTGTATTTTTTTTTTTTTTAGTAGAGACGGGGTTTCACCATGTTAGCCAGGATGGTCTCGATCTCCTGACCTCGTGATCCACCCGTCTTGGCCTCCCAAAGTGCTGGGATTACAGGCTTGAGCCACCGCACCCGGCCTAATTTTATATTTTTAATAGAGATGAGTTTTCACCATGTTGGCCAAGCTGGTCTCGAACTCCTGACCTCAGGTAGTTTGCCTGCCTCGGCCTCTCCAAGTGCTGGGATTACAGGCATGAGCCACCGCGCCCGGCCAAGCTATACTTTCATACGACTGGCAGCACCACAAACACTTGAGTGAGGTACTGTGCTGGGTGATGATGTATCGCGTCACTGGGTGATAGGAATTTTTCAGCTCCATTGTAATTTTAGGCAGACTGTCATTGGCTGAAATGTCATCATGTGGCACATGACTGCAGATTGTAGTTTCAGCTTTGAGTCACTAAGAAGAGTGCCAAAATTTTAAGTAGATTTTGGAGAGGTTATTGTTTTTATGGCTAATTTCTAATTTTGCTATATCAAAGTAAGAGCAGTTTTAGAATTTGTTAAATTCTTTGTGACTTAAGTGTTGGCTAATTGTTGTGAATGTCTCTGGGGTGTTTAAAAAGAATGTGGTTTTTTGGCCATTTATTGAGTATAAATCTATAAGATCAAGTCTGTTACTTGTATTACTTAGATATTCTTTTTACCCTTTTTTCTGTTTTGGTCTATTTGATCTGTCATACTCTACTACCTGTATTAAATTTTCCACTGTGTGTGTGTGTGTGTGTGTGTGTTCTCCTTATACTTCTATCAATATGTGTGTGTGTGTGTGTGTGTGTGTTCTCCTTATACTTCTATCAATATGTAATTGATACATTTCCAAACTATATTGTTAGGCTCATGTAGTTTTATGACCGTTACATGTTTTTGATGGATTATACCCTTTATCAGTATAAAATCCCTCTCTGTCTTGTTTAATGCCTTTCACCTGGAATTCTATTTCTTCTGCTACTGCTATTATTACATCTACATTGTGAGCCTTACATGGTGTTCATTTTTCCGTCCTTTTATTTTCATTTTCCTTAGGTCATTTTGTTTTACTATACCTGTTATAAACAGGCTAGAGCTAGATTTCTTAAAGCCAGCATCAGAGTATCTATCTTTTAATAGTGAACTTTAGCTCAATAAGTTTAGTAATTATCTTTGTTCTTATTCCTGCCATCTCCTTTTATTATTCTAATTTCCATGTTTTATTTATTTATTTTTCTACTTTTGCTTTACCTTCCTTTTGCTGAATTGCTAAGTTTTCTTTATCTACTTTTTCCTCTAGTGGTTTGGAATGTATACATTCCATTTCTATTTTTTTAGTGATTGACCTTTAAGTATTTAACATATATATTTATACACACTTTTCCCTTAGTTATGTACAGAATTAAACAGTATCTATTTTTATCCCCAAACAAGAGAAGAATCTTAGCGTGGTTTCATGTTTCTAATTCTTCTACCACCTCACTTCCTACCTTGTTGAGGTAACATAAAACATTACTTCCAAATTGTCATTAAGGTTTTGTACATTTTCCCCTTAACAATTATGTAGATTTTATATAAACTTTATAATGTCCTTGTTCAAAACTCACAACTATAAACTTCATTATTTTTTACTCATATCATTACTCTGCTCATTCTATTTCTTTGATTCGTTTTTCATTCTGTGGAAGTACAGCCTGAGTAATTGCTTCAGGGAAGACTTATGTGGGGCAGTAAACTTTATGGGTTCTTAAACACTTGGAAATGTATTTTGCCTGGCTACTTGAATGCTGATTAGACTGCATATACAGGGCCAGGTTCAAGAACACATTTTCCTCATAATTTTGAACATATTATTCCATTGTCTTCTATTACATATATACTTTCATTAATGAAAAGTCTAATGCTAATGATGATTTTCAAAGTAATTCCCTTTTTTCCTTTTTGGCAACACTATTTATTAAAGAAGCTCTTCTTTCTCCATTCTGTGTTCTTGGCACCTTTGTCGAAAATCAATTGGCTGTAAATGAGTGGGTTCATTTCTCAGGTTTCTATCCTGAGCCATTGCTCTATGTGTCTGTTTTCATGCCAGTACCATGCTGTTTTGGTTACTATAGCTTTGTAACAGATTTTGATATCAGGCCGTGTGGTGCCTCCAGCTTTGTTCTTCTTGTTCAAGATTGCTTTGGCTATTCAGGGTCTTTTGTGGTTCCATATGAATTTTAGGATTGTTTTTTTCCATTTCCATAAAAAATGACATTGGCATTTTGATAGGAATTGCATTGAATTTGTAGATTGTTTTGTGTTGTACTGTCATTTTAACAATAGTAATTATTCTAATTCATGAACACAAGATATCTTTCCATTTATTTGTGTCACAACTATTTCTTTTATCAATGTTTTATAAGTTCTCAGTTTATAGACCATTAAATTTTTTCCTAAGTATTTTAGTTTTTTGTTGCTATTGTAAAAGGGACTGATTTCTTAATCTCTCTTTCAGATAGTTCATTGTTAGTGTAAATAAATGCTACTCATTCTTGTGTGTTGATTTTGTGGCCTGCAACTTTACTGAATTAGTTTATCAGTTGTAATAGATTTTGGTGATCTTTAGGATTTTCTATACATAAGATCATGTCATCAGCAAACAGAGAAAATTTCACTTGTTCCTTTCCTATTTGGATAACATTTGCCTAACTGCTCTGGCTAGGACTTCCAGTATTATCATGTTGAATAGAAGTGGTGAGAGTGGGCATCTTTGTCTTGTTCCTTATCTTAAAGGAAAAGCTTTCAACTTTTCACCACTAAGTGTGATGTTAGCTGTGGCCTTGTCATATGTGGCCTTTATTGTGTTGCAGTGCATTCCTTCTATGCCTAATTTGTTGAGAGTTTTTATCGTGAAAGGATGTTGAATTTTGTCAAGTGCTTTTGTGCATCTATTGAGATGATCATGTGGGTCTTTTTTCCCTCATTCTGTTAATATAGTGTATTACACTTATTGATGTGCATATGTTGAACCATCCTTGCATCCCTGGAATGAAACCCACTTGATCATGATGTATCATCTTTTTCATGTACTGCTGGATTCAGTTTGCTAGTATTGTGTTGAGGATTAAATGAGGATGACGCCAGTGCATGTGGACATAAGCATCCAGCACAGCAAATGGCACAGACAGGTGCTGGTATAGTGATAGATATCCGTACTTATTGGACGAAAAAACTGAGGTTCAGAGAAGTTAGATGTCTCGCTCAAGCTCGCAAAGCATGTTGGCAGGTTGGCTTTGGGCCTGCTCAGACTCCAAGCCAGGCTGCGTTCAGCATGTGACTTTTGCTCCCCTAATGGTTTTGGCTGGTTTCCAGCAGGTGTGCCAGTGCATAGTGTGTCTCTCTGTGGAAAGTTATCATAAACGACAATGGACCCACTGGCCTCCTTGTCAGGCAGACACCAAGCACACATTCTCTCCCTTCCTACTCCCTGGGAAACAGTTCCATCATTCTACCATCAGGCCACAGTGTGGCACCATGCAGGTGTGTGTGTATCTGTGCACCTGTGTCCTCAGGGACCCACCTGAAGAGGAGCAGCACAGCCTGGGGGAAGGTCTGAAAGTTGTTGTTCCGGTTGATCTCTGTGGTATCATTCAGGGCAATTTTCCCAAACACCTAGGAGAGGGAAGGAAGAGGTGTTCAGTGATTTGTGGACAGAGAGGATCCTAATTTCCCACCATTGTTCAATGGTCTCTTCAGGGGTCTCAGGTGTCCCTGGAACTGGCCACCACAAGCTGAATAGTCTTCCCATGCAACCTGGCAGGCACCTGCTGCCCTACCCAGTCCCTGAGCACAATCCCCACACTGGACAAGCATGAGAATCAAAGAGCCCACAGCCCCAGGCAGGTCCCTACAGCCCGGTGGGAGCTGGGGCTGAGAGTGGTGGATGCTGGGACAGGGACCCAGCTTCTGACAGAACACAGGATGCACTGTGTTACTTTCTTTGCTATTTCAGCGCTGCATGCCCAAGCACTCTTTCAAATTTAGTTCTTGCATTTTGGAGTGATGTGGAGTGAGTGATCTGGGGCTAGGGCAGGCTTCATTCATTCCTGAAATCCCTTTTTTTTTCCTGGTCTTTTAAAGCTGTGCTTATCTTAGAAACTGCCACCGTTACCAGGTATCAAGGTAGCTCTTTTAGTCTCAAAAGGTTTTGGCAACTGAATCTGGGGTCTTTCTGCGATGAGTAAGTAGGGGACTTCCTGGAGGAGCGGCCAAGGAAACGCTCTGGGCCAGTGTGGGCGTCCTGCCAGGTTTGACCTTGGGACCTCAAGCTGGAGCCCGGAGACGGGAATGGAGAGCTCCAGGTTTGTGGTGAAAGGTGCAGTGGGCACCTGGGAGGGGAGGCCCCAGAAAACTGCTGCACGTTTGATGTGGTGAGCCTTGTGTTGATTTGGCCCTTCCTTGCTTCCTTCTTCTTTCCTCCCTCCCTCTCAGTCATTAGCTTCCAATGAATCTGGTTGGGGTAATTCTCAGGCCCATCAGACCTGGACACAAACAGGGGTGCTGGGCAGACACACCTTGCTGCTGTTTCTTGAGAAGGGGCTGTGTCTCTCCCGAGGCCCCTTGCATAACTCAGGAGTGTCTTTCCTCTACCAAGAGCAGAACCCAGGCCTCGGGTAGGGAAGCTCTCTGGGCTGTGTATTCTGTACCTGGCCGCTCTCCTGTTACCTACAGGAGATCCATTTGGGGAAAGTTCCCATTCCTGTGGTATTTTGGGCCTCAGAAAATGGAAGAGGAGGGAGAGGGACAGTCAGGAATGAAAGGGAGAAGGGAGGGAGGAAGGTGTGAGGGAATGTGGTGCTGGGAACTGGGAAGAGACAGAGCAGGAGAGGAGGAGAGCAGGAGGCCAGGAGCCCCGTGATGGGAGCCTCCCTACCTGCATCCCGATCACCGCGTAGATGAAGAACAGCATCACGATCAGGAGGGCCACATAGGGCAGGGCCTGGAAGGAAGTGCAGGAGACTCCCATGAGGCCGGAGTGCAGAGGCCAGCTGGGCCCCTTCCCAGGGAGCGCCGCATCCCTGTCTCTGCAGCCATCAGCTATTGCCCGGTTTGGGCTGGGGGACACTTCCAAGAGTCCCACAGGACTACGGGGAACCTGGGAGAAGGTCTGAGAAACCGGAACTGACTTCCCATTTCAGCTGGGTTTTCAAAGCAGGCCACAGAGTAACCACATAGTGCGACACTACCTGGGCAAAACAATCAAGAAAGAGCAAAGTCTCCTCCGACTACACATGTGCGGTATGTTTGTACGAGGGGGGAGAAATCGTGGACAGCACCCAGCTGACTGTGGTTACCTGTGGAGGAGTGGGGTAGTGGCAAGTTACACCCTTCCTTTACACAGCTTCATTCTATCCCACTAGTTGTAGCGAGCGGGTATTACTATTGCAATGAAAACATTTAATAAGGAAAAATTTAAAAGAAAGATCATGGGTTCAACTCCTGTTTTTGCCACTTTCTATCGATGAGAACTGGGGCACTTAACTTCTCTGAGCTTCAGTCTCCTCATCAGAAAAATGGAAATAATAATGACCTCTCAGAGGTTTTGTGGTTTAAATGATTTAAGGCTTATAAAGTGCTTAGTGCATGCCTTGTACAGAGTTGGGTTCCATACATTCTATTCGCTTAATGCATTATCTGCCTGGCAACTAGGACGACTAAATTTCCAGAGCCCCCGACACTTCTAGGGAGAGGCCATGGTCCCCGGGATGGGAGGCCCGGCCCGTGTTCCCAGGCGCCGCTTCATTGGCCGCCGGTCACTAGAGGGTGCAGCCAGAGCAGGCACCGGCTGCCTGGCCTGAACGCCTGTGCCACCGTCAGGCCCTCGCAGTCACCCAGTCTGAGTCTCTTCCCAGGCCCGGGAGATGTCGGGGGGCAGGGCGAGTATGGCCACTCACAGCCGTGGGTTCCGCGCGCACCCAAGTGCAGCGTCAGCGGCAGTCCTGCTTCCACTGGGGCCTACTTTTCCGAATCCCCGGAGCCTGGGCCGACCCGGGCTGGGAGTGCAGGAGCCCCAGCTCACCATTAGGCGGGGGTCAGCCCTGGTGGCTCAGAGGAGGCCTGGCCATTGGGAGCTCCCTCAAGAACCTTGGATGGTCAGTCCCTGGCAGGAGGCTGCTGGGGGCAGAGCGGGGACGGGCATCTTTCCTCTGGCTACAGCTACAGCCATGGGCACACTAGACCAGGCCCAGGCACGCCCTGTCCCCAGGCGGGGACTGGCCGGGGTGGGGCACACAAAGGCCATCTTCCCCGACAGATTCTGGTCTCAGGAAAGCTGAGAGCGGCCCCTCCATGGGGGGAGAGAAGCCTGCGTTCCGCCAGCCCAGGGAAGCATGAACCGCCTTCAGGGGTTCAGCACTCATCTGCGGGAAGTCAAGTGGCCCAGCAGCTTTGCTTCTCCTAACTTCAACCCTACAAAGGCTCCTCCGAGCTGGCAGGGGCTGATGGTCATTCTGTTTTAACGGAAAAACAGTGGCTGAGAAAAGGAACGCATCACGTGGCCAGGCAGTCCTGGGCCCATTCGAAAGGCCTGTCTAGCCGAGCGGAGGACACCAGGGTCCTGCGACTCTGGCCGAGGACATAACAGGTGCTGTCAGCAGATGCTGCTGAAATGCCTGTGGGGAGGAGGGCGATGGCCAGATTCTGAAAATGCTGAATTCGAAGGGCAATAGCGGTCACCAGGTTGTCCAGGCCCGTGTTTTTCAGGTTTGTTCCTTACCACAAAACCCCTTGGTCCAGTAAATTCTTGTGGAGAAAGACATAAATGATGGTTAAAAGTAAGGCAGACCCTTTCCGCCTCCCCGTAGCTCCCATCCCTCCTTTACCACCTGGCCTTCTCGGGCTCTGAGCCTGCCTTGGAAACCACACGCTTCGTCTAAGCCTCTCAGTGCGGAAACAGGGAGCCAGGTAGAGCGGCCGAGTTCTGCCACACAGAGGAAGGAGCAGGGCCCCAGAGTGGAGGGCTCCTCCCTGTGCCAGCTGTGTTCTGGGCCAGGCGGCAGCCCTGGGATCCCCAGGCCGCAGGACATGAGGGGCGGCTACCTGGAAGGACTTGATGAAGGTCCACAGCAGCGTCCGGATGCCCTCCCCGCGGCTCAGCAGCTTCACCAGGCGCATGACCCGGAATAGGCGGAAGAAGGTGATGGAGATGCGCGAGTTTTCCTCTGCGTTCTGGAACCCGTCGGCAACAGGAGGTGCAGTTAGCACAGCAAGAGGGGGGGTGAGAACAGAAGGGCCCCTCCGAGAAATACAGACCTCAGTGGCAGTGGCAGAAGGCAGGCCAGGGTTTGCTGCACTAGACTTCCCCCTCGGATGGGAGGGCAGCCGCCCACTGTAACGAGTGGACAGCTCAGCCCCATGGTGTCTGTAGAGCTAGACTGTGCCCAGGCCGCTGGGCTGTGCTGTGTTTTTACTCTCCCCACTTCCCCTTCATTCCTAGTTCTTAATGCCCTGGGTGGAGGAACAGATAGCTCCATCAGGAACTACCATAAGCTTTGGAATCGTGTAGGCCCAGAGCCAGTTGCCCTGGGAGCCCCTGCCTCTGCACTGCTGAGGAAGCAGCCCTAGCCTCTCTCCCGTTTGTCTGGGCAGAGAGTCCTGCATCCTAAGTGGAGCCCAGCACTCTCTGAGGACATGGGTTGGTGGATGGCCTCTCTCCCAGCTGTGGGTATGCCTGCATTTGAGGCCCTCTGAAGGGGCCTCATGCCTCAGCTGCTTGGGACTCCAGCACTTCCCTTGTATCACCTCCTTCTACTTTCCACAGCCCCTGTCCCAAAGGGAGGAATTAGGGGGCTACTCAGTGCTGGAGAGGGTCTGATTTGCAGCCCTTGCTCTGAAGCTGTTGCCCTCCTACTCCCCTCTGCCCTGGGGCCTCTAGGAGGCTCCAACCCTCCAGGCTGTACAAAACCCTGGAAGGGAGAGGGGCAGCATAAGAGAGGGGAGGCCTCCCTTGCAAGTGATGCTCCTGCAGATGGTCTCCCTCAGGGGCCCTGGGGAAGGGGAAAGGGAAGGTGAAGGGGAGGAAGGGTGGAGTGCAGGCCAAGGTGAGTGGAGGTGGGGAAGGGGAAAGGGAAGGCGAAGGGGAGGAAGGGTGGAGTGCAGGCCAAGGTGAGTGGAGGTGGGGAAGGAGAAAGGGAAGGCGAAGGGGAGGAAGGGTGGAGTGCAGGCCAAGGTGAGTGGAGGTGGGGAAGGGGAAAGGGAAGGCGAAGGTGAGGAAGGGTGGAGTGCAGGCCAAGGTGAGTGGAGGTGGGGAAGGGGAAAGGGAAGGCGAAGGTGAGGAAGGGTGGAGTGCACGCCAAGGTGAGTGGAGGTGCTTGGGCTGCTGCTGTTGGACCTGGGGGAACCTGGGGGCTTGGGCACATGCCTGGCCAGAACTCAGGACAGGCTGCCCTGCCACCCTCTGCCTCCAAACCTGAGAACATGAGTTGACTCCCCACTTGTTCCTCCTTCTGCCCACACCGGCCTGGTGAGCAGGAACCTAGGAGGGTGCCACTGCCAAATCCGGAGCTAGTGCAGCTCACCCAGCCCTGCGGCACCGGGAGAGAATGGACCCTCGGGGCTTCCTGTTACTGTTCCGTCCACACCTCCCTGAGGTGGGAGGTCTCAGGTTGTTACTGGGGCCACCTGGGCCCTCCCCACTCCTTGCTTTACCTTGCCTTTTATCTTGAATTGTTTCTAGGTCAGACTCTCCCTGGCAATATCCAGCGCTAAAGCCCTTCTAACTGCACTGCCTGCTCTGGCCGACCCTGGTGTGACGTCAGAGGCCGCTTCCCTCACTCTGCAGGACAGGAGATTATGAGGGAGGCAGGGTGACCCGGAGGCAGCCACCACTCTGCACAGAAGCAAGCCAGAGACCTCTCCTGCTTTCCAGACCTTCCAGACAGGAGAAGAGCAAACATATTTCTTATGTTTCAAAATCAGAGCTGCCTCAGTTCCTCCGAAGGCTCCCATTCCCCTCAAGGCAGGGGACAGACTGGTGGGTCTCAGGACCTGCTGCACGGGTACCTGAGGGGCTGGGTCGAGAGCTGCAGGCAGCAGTCCTGTCCTGCCCTGGGCTCTGCCCTGCCTGTGTGTTCTGAAGCCTTTGATGCCCTTCATCTCTGTATTTCTATCACCTGTGTATCTACTTGAAATTCTATTTTCACTCCTTAAAAGGAGGTTGTGTTCCCCCAGAGGAGTATGCAGAGGAGGCTTAGGATTTTGTAACTCAGCTGTCAGTTCCACCATGTTCGAGAAAGGAGAAAAAAAAGAAAGAACAAGCTGAAGTGGAGAACTTCAGCTCCAAGTGTCAAGAGTTTGAGAAGTTGGTGCCACAGGGGCATCTGGATCTGCTCAGTTAAAAAAACAAAACAAAACAAACAAAAAAAGAAAACACCAAACACCAAGCTTGCAGTGTGAATTCCATTCCACTGTGCAGAACCCTCCCCTGTGGCTGCAGTTTCCTAATGCTGCTCGAGAAGGGGAACAAACACATTGCCATTTGGACACACCGATTTGCTCTAATAAACCAAATGACAATGCAAAAAAGAGGCAGATCCAGATGGCTGATCCAGGAAGCAGCGTCCCCAGGAAGTGGGGTAGAGCACCCCGGGCTCAGCCTTTCCTGTGGCAGCCTTGCCTGGCCCTGCCTGGCTGCACTGGGGAACACATCCACCCACCCAAGCTTGCCTCGGTCTGTGGACTTTGCGGCTTGGTCAGTCAACCCCACTGGTCCTTCTAAAAACTCATACGTGGCCCGGTTTGAAATGCGTAACGGCAGCCTTTTGGAGGAGGCTGGGCCGAGGAGGCTTCAAGGTCACACTGAATGGCGTCTCTTTTATCACATTAGCCAAAGCGAATCAGAGACTCCTACCAGAGGAGTGATCCAATCAACGGAGCTCGTTTTTCTGCTTCCAGCTTGCTGCAGAACAAGTGGCTGTAGCCTAATTTTAATGGACTTCAGGAATTTAGAAAAATGCAAGGGGTAGCAAGGTTGGAGTGCCTGGAAATTCAATCATGCTCTCAGTAACAAATCCCAGCTTAAACCTTCTATGGTGGACTTCCACCTGAAGCACAGGGAAGCTAAGAGCTGCAGACACTGATGAATAGGAACCATCGTCCGCCCTTCCATCCCCTGGCTAGAGCACCTCTTTCTTCCCTCCTTACCTTGGAGCCCTCCCATGGCTCTCATAGGTACCCTCTGCAAATTTCTCACATCAGATTAAGATTAAGGTCAGAGGCTTTGGCCCGTGGAGTCCTCAGGGCGTTTAACAGGAAATGGCCCTCAGGTCCCATTCTCTCCCAGTGGCTTGTTAGATAGTCAAGATCACAGTGAATTACCACCCCAAGGAAAGCTCAGGGGTAAAACACCACCACTGCACAAACAGCATCTTCACAGCTCACACGAGAAGGGAACAGGCAGGCAAGGCACACGGCAGACACGGTGGCCACATGCAGTGAGAGCCAGGCGGGGCTCCCAAGGACTCTGGAGATCAGGGTGGGGAAAGTAGGGGTGTTAGAGGGGGACACGGAAGCCGGGAGCATGGTCGGGAGGGTTGGTCTTACCATAGAGGGAGAGCATTGGGTATGTTCAGCTGGCTTTAAAGAAAGGCAGATAGAGATAAGCTGTAATGAGTCTCCTAGGAAGATGCCCGGTATTCTAGGTCTTGGCTAACACAGGAGCAACACAGTGGCAGAAGAGGGCAAAAGGAAACAAGTGAAAGAAACGTGAAAGCGTAGGCCTGGCAGGTCCTGGGGCATCCCCGAGACTGTGGGTTCTGTGTTGCTGGGTCTCATGTCAAACAAGGACCCACAGGCATTCTCCTGCCTAAGACCTTTAAAACTCACACCCGTAATATTATTACATAAGCAGATGAGGTCTTTGGGATTTTGTGGATGGAGGTTTGTAATTGTTTTGTTTGGTGTGGTTTTGTTTTAGAGACAGGGTCTCAGCTCTGTTGCCCAGGCTGGAGTGCAGTGGCATAATTACAGCTCACTGCAGCCTTGAACTCCTGGGCTCAAATGATCCTCTCACATCAGCCTCCCCAGTAGTTAGGACCACAGGCACGTGCCACCATGCCTGGCTAATTTATTATTTTTTTGTAGAGATAGGGTCTCACTATACTGCCCAGGCTGGTCTCAAACTCGTGGCCTGGCCTCAAGTGATTCTCCTGCCTTGGCCTCCCAAACTGCTGGGATTACCAGTGTAAGCCACTGTGCCAAGCCTGTTTTAATTTTATTAGCCATTGTTAACCTTTGAGAACTTGGGCTTTATGCACTTTCGCTTACCCCAGGCAGGACCAGCTGAAGGACAGAGGCCTCGCTAACCCCAGAGCCTATCCTAGCCCACATATATTTAAGCAAAGCAGCCCAAGGGCAGTGGCGTCTCAGGTTTAGGGGAGAATGACTTCAAGTCAACACTGAGGAGGGCCTCCAGAGGTGGCCTCAACTCACTCCATAATGGGGCTTGTTCTTAAAGCTCAGGCTCAGGCAGGAGATGGCCTTGCTTAGCAGTTAGTCTATAGATGTGGCAAGCCCTGGCCATTGGCATGAAATAATGAGTGTTGAATTGTTTTCTAAACTTGAAAGCCCTGCACACAATTTAGGATATGAACATCCCAGGAAGCTGTTCTCATGGGTCTGACTGCTGAACTCATTTGGGGGTAGAAGCTAAGGAAACTGGCCTCTGGTGAGTATCCCAGGGCCAGCCCTCTCCCTGAGTTCCTGGAGCCTGGCTCTGGGAAGATGCCCTTACTTTTGGGGCTCCAGCCCAGAGGGCTCAGCTCCAACCGATCTTGACCATCTGAGCTGCCAACTCTTTCTAGAAAATCAGGACTTGGCTTTTACCCTCCACTTTCAGATGGTTGCTCTTGTATTTCTGTTTTTAAGGTACAAACAAGAAAAATGTGTAATGGAATTTTTGAAGGATGGAAATGTGCACAACTAGACATTTGCTTGCAGCCTGGAAATATTTCTTGGGTAACAGATTTCTCAGCAATTTTTTTTTTTTTCATAGCTAGTTGGTAGGATGTCCTTTTAGGGGATGGTGAAGATATAGGGTGAGGTGAGGGAAGAGAAAGAAAGGGACGCTTCTCTAGGCTTTTACAGAACACTCTAGATCTGGCTTTCTAGATCTCAGCTTCTGCTTCATGAAGATTCCACCTGCCAGGTCAATCCTTGTGACTGCAGGGTGTGGGGTCCCTAGGATTTGGCTAGCAGGCTGAGCTTGAACACAGAGACAAACATAGGTAGACAGACAGACACACACACACACACCCTCTCTCTCTCTCTCTCTCTCTCTCTCTCTCTCTCATACAGGCATGCACAGAAGAAATTTCTTGGCAAAGCACCTAAACCCCTTTTCCTCTGGTGTGTGATAGTTGCCCAGGATGGTCGGGTCTGGCTACCCTCTGGCATCGTTCTGCCCCGCTCCTGGCCCAGTGCTTGGGCTCTTTTGCTCATGGACAAGGAGTTCTATGTTTCTCAGGCTTCAGTGGGGCAGGGAGGGAGGCCCAGAGGGAGGTAACCTACACCACATTAACTCCAGAGTGTTGGGCAGAGTTCCCAGGAAGCTTGAGCCATTGCTGGCCTCTTGGATCCATCCTGCAAACCATCACAGCTGCTCATCACTTCTGAGAACCCTGGGCAAATGCTTGAAGGTCTTCTGGGTCAATCCCAGCCTGAACAGGACCAAAATGGAGATAATTCTGACAACACACCCAGGTATTTGGCTCACCTGGCCTAATTGAATCAACCTCTAGGCATCCAAAAAAAAAAAAAAAAAAAAAAAACCGGTTTGATTTTACTTCTTAAACATTCAGAATCCTTCATTTGGGATTTTTAGATTTTTAAACATTTGTCTTAACTGTCTTTTCTCTTGTTGCATTTTATAGCTCCCATTTAAGACCTCGTCTATTTAACTCATATTTCACTTCAAGACTTGACTTTAGGTCTGTTCTGATAATCTTGATAGTTTTTTGTATTTTAATAACATGTATTGATTTAACATTTCCTGTGGCATGTCTCTATAATAGCAGACAAGAAAAGTCAGGAGCAGCTATGAGGGCAGTAGAAAGAGGAGGAATGAAGACTCTCTAAGATCTATGTGGCATTCTCCCACCCCGGTAATGACAACTCTCCTAAGAGACCAACTTTGGAAGAATCTAGAGACTCAAAGATTCACTTTTTCTTGAGCCTTAAGCCATACTGTTCACAGGGCATTTTTGACTAGCTGAGACAGTGTTGCCTCTAACACCACACAAACTTGTTTTCACATAAGGAGCTACGTTTACAAGGTCTGTGGTCTCAAAAACCAATCACCATTCACGATGAAATCAGAGAGCAACACCTGAGTGATTTCTACATGGTAACAATAGGAAGCAGCCTAAGACACAGCCCCTACCCCCAAGGCCCCCAAGGTCTCCTGATGCCCTAGACGTTTCCTACATGATCCCAAGTCATCGTTGGTCTTTGGTACCCTTTCCCTTTGGCAAGTGAATCCCCTTCTGAGATGGAAGGAGAGATTGGACTTGCTGGAGGTGGACATCTCTGGTATCCCAGGATCAGCACTTTTAGCTCAGAGACACGTTTCTGTGTTTACGACTCTCTTTAAATATCAAGTACGGCGCCTTGAGAAACGACAAAGCATCAGTTCTACCTTTGCATGTAAATTCAGAATTTGTTGGTAGCCATCAATACTTGGGCCATTAATCTCTGACCCCTTCCCAGATTTGCTGCCGGGGCCTTTGAGTTAGTTTGTAGTTTCTCCATCTGTGGTCTTTCTGGGGGAAGAAAGGGGCCGTAGGATTCCCTGAAGACTGGAGACTGCATTCCCCTTTTGCAGCAGCCATCAGAGCTGCTTACATAACCTGAACATTCTGGCTGATTTTTAATACGGCACTGTCTCCACTAATGGTAGGCGTGGAGAAATTTCTGAGCAGCCAACTCTTTCATCCTTGTTTTCTAATGATCTGGTAATTTTCAACGATTGCACGATATTGGGGCAATTAACTTAATTTTTTCACGTAATTGATATAAATGAAATGAGGTTATTACTCTGTATCTGAGGCAGAGGTCGGGCGTTTTCAGAGAGACAGAGCTCTGGTTAGTGGTTCCAGATAACAGGCTCAGGGCAAATAGAAAGGAGAGCCGATTTCCTTCCTTCAGTATGCTTATGCAGACTGCCTTGGTTTGGCAGAAGTGGCATTGAGGAGAGGAGCGGTGCAGGGCAGCTAATGAGAGGAGGTCTCTGGAAAGCCGTCTTTCTGAATTAAGCTCAGGGTCAAATGAGAAGTAACACCTCAGTGGATGAAGTCTTTGTTTCTGGAAGGCAGTCACTGTGCACTTATTTTCATTGGAATGCCAGGTCTAGGCCACATTTAGGATGCTGAGGGGTGATAGTCAGGGAATGCCAGAGGCCAGCAGAGACAGGATCCTCCCAGGTGGAGGATTTTCCCACCAGGATGGTGTGGGTGGCCGTGGGATGTGTTTTCTGGTTGCCACATTACATGGTCTCTCTGGAGACTTAAAAGGTAATTGAAAAATAGCTCTTCACCATACGAAAAACAGTTTTTAAATAATTATTATTTTTTGAAAGCACAGCCAAGGGTAAGGATTATAGAAATTCAGGGGCTAAGCAGTAGATCTCTAGGCTGGAATACCCAGCCCAGCTGTCCTCCACCATACTCTCCTGCAGTCAGGCGGCCAGAGAGCATTGTGAAGGGAGCATAAGCCATGGCTGCATGGCAGGCTGATTTTGAAAGGTGCAGATGACCTCTGCTCTCCTCCAGGGAAGGCTGGCTCTTGGCCCTACAGAAAAGGACTGTCCCATTCCAATGGCTGCCATTGAAATAACGCTATGACCTCAGTGTCACTGAGATTCCACGCACCTCTGAAACAGATGTCAAAAGTAATGTCATGGGATTGTGAGTCTCTAAATCGCGGTTCTGCTACAGAACCCTTGCTGTATTTTTTTAAATGTCTTGTCCAGAACTTAGGGAGGTGGATCTGATATAAATTTCATTCCAAGCCACGTGAAGGTCTCGATCCAGCTGGTACCCCTTCCCCATGCTCCACTTCTCTGCTTGTACTACCTCTAATCTCAATTTCATCTGCAAGACACAACAGCTGGTTCTGTTGGGGGGTGTCATGGTGTGGAGGAAGACCAAGGGGTGGGCCTTTGAGAGAGAGACCTTGGAGTTAATCTAGGTTGGGAGGAGGTGGGTCAGGCTGGTGCACAGAGAGAGCTGGGAATGGCAGGGGTCAGGGGCTGCTAGAGACATCTGACACCAACTTCATGGTCAGGAGCCAGCAGGTGTAGGTTAAGGGTGTGTATGTGGGTCCTCATGATCCTTTTATCTCCCCTTCCCACCAGGAGAAACACATTATCTCAGGAGGAGTCAGGAGGTGCTGACTTTTGGAGCCACTGGGGATGGCAGCAGGGCAAGATATTTTAAGGAGGCCAAAGTAAATCATGTTTTAAACTGCAAGACTTCTACAGTTGAATGAACAGGTACTTGCTAAGAGAGGCGAAGGTTAAACACACGTCAGCTGGGATAGACAGGAGCTGAGGGTAGAGGCCAGTGGCTTTCAGACAAAAG